CAGACATAGAATACAAATTTGTGATTGCTAGGGGGAGAGGGGTGGGAAGGGACGTTCAAAATTTGTAGATACTGACAGGTATATATAGAATAGATAAACAAGATTATACTGTATAGCACAGGGAAATATATACAAGATCTTGTGGTAGCTCAAGGTGAAAAAGAATGTGACAATGAGTATATGTACATTCATATATGAAACATTGTGCTCTACACTGGAAATTGACACAGCATTGTAAACTAACTATAACTCAATAAAATTTAAAAAAGGATGGAATTGAAAGTAGAAATAGACAAATCCACAATTACAGCTGGAGACGTCAACACCTCTTTCTCAACAATTGTTGTAGACAGAAAATCAGCAAGCAATATCACAACAGCATAATTAATGGGCTTGAATTAACCCTTGCAGATTATTCCACCAAGCAACCACAAAACACACATAATCTTCAAGTGTTCGGATTTCAGAACAGATTATCAGCATGAATCATATTCTGGGTCATGAAATAAATCTCAAAAAAAGTAAGAAAAATTGAAATCATACAGAGGGTGTCCTCTGACTACAGTGGAATTAAACTGGAAATCAGTAACAGAAAATCACAGGAATACCTCCAAACTGTTTAAAAATTAAATAACACTCCTATAAATAAACTAGTCTGTACGGAACACCTGAGAAGTGATTCAACACAGCAATGACCACCAGGCAGTAAAAAGTTACCGGCTGGGTAATGGAAATTGGGTCATTAAGGGCCCTCGAAGAAGTGACCCGCAATCTGGGAAGAGGAAGCAAGAGAGAAGTGGCCGGGGGAAGGTCTGGGGGCGGGGGAACGCGTCCCCAGGAACACACTGTAGGTGGCAGGGCCTCCACTGGCATCCCAGTTACACACAAGGACGCCAGTCTGTGAGGACGAACGCGTGTGTGCCCATGGCAGGCCCCAGCCGTCCAGGGCATCGTCCAGCTCACATCCTGCTCATTCATATCTGAGAACCTAAATGCCCCTGAATGTATGCAGAAGCAACCCCCAAAGTAGATCCACGGTTCTTACTTGCGAAAATAACTTACAGCTGCCAAATTTCAGAGGGCAGGCGTGGGCGTCCATCGGGAAGTCTTCGAGCTGCATCGGGCACTCTGCAGAGATGGTCAAGCTGCAAAACAAGAGAGGGACACCTTTCAAGGACTCACGGATCTGGCTACTTACTGGACACGCCCTCTATTCTCGAAAGCCATATTAAATACGCCACTCAGTGTTTGAATTTACTACCTTTTATGAGATCGTTTAAAACTGTCCCACCAAATCACACAGGATTGCATTGTAGACGAACATCATTTAGAAATAAGGCTTAAATCAAGTCTGCTCGGGTTCTGTGGCTGCTGTGTGTCTGTACATACATTACTGCTTGTAAAGCAATTTGAGATGGCTTTAAAGATAATTTATTCTTTCTCTCCCATCCCTTGCTCAGAGTAATCTAAAAAACTTCCCTCAACAAGGCTGAAAATATATGTATTTTCTAAAATAGTTTATAAGCTCAAAAAAAAAGTAAAT